AGCGCAGATAGCTGCGCTTGAAGCTAAAATTCAGTATTTGGAAGAGCAGTACAATGTTGAGAGTCAAGAACGTGCGAATGCTACACGTCAGGTAAACTGCTTATGCACGTTGCAGAACTCTTTCTCATCCCAGCCATGGCCATGAACAATTTTCACTTTTTTAGAGCAAACGCGCTGCATAAATGAGCTCCTGCTGACTGGCTTTATTCTTGACTAACATAAAATAAATGTGTGGACCTAAATTTGCTCTGACAGTATACTTGGCTTATTCTTAAGCTAAGCCTGTGTTCCGGTTTGTAGAGAATTCAGAAAGTATCACTGTTTTTCTGTATCTGTGTGGCTGGCAGCTTTTCCAGTTTTATGGCCCAGTGATCATCAACCTGCCAGCAGACCTGACGTCGGTTTCGTCTCCTAGCGGGGTTGCGGGCTCAGCTGTTCTTCAGGCAGAAGCGTTTAACAAATCTTTTACCTGTTTCGGGATTTCGTTGACGTGTGTTGAGCAATCACCCAGCTGATCTTGAGTGTTGCCGCTGCGGGATCACAGTAATTTCCTCACCGAATGGAAATTGGGGTTATATAAGGTATACAAAAAGCAGCGTTATTAGGCTGTAGTCCCGCCATAATAATATTTGCAGTGGTTGAGCAAGTATGCTATCACTTATTTTATTTGCCTTCAGTATCGGCGTATTGAGAAGCGTTTCGCGGATGCGATACTTCAGCTTGAAGACGAACGCCGAAATACGGAGCAAAACAAGGAACAGGTATATTGTGGCTACATTCTGCATCGTCTTATTAATCCAATGCTTAGAATTCACTGCCGGGGAATAAGAGATGCTGCTTTTTTCAGGCGGATAGAGCAAATACGCGTGCAAGGCAGATTCGTCGGCAGCTAGACGAAATGGAGGAAGAGCTGATACGGGAACGGACGAAAGCGCGGAATCTGCAGCGGATGATTGATGATTTAAATGCAGCAAATGATACTCTGGCTCGTGACAACACGAATTTGCGAGTGCAGCGCCGTCCTGTCCGTGACACGTTGCTGGGTGGTCGACGCGTGCATCTGCGAAACAATAGTCCGCATGATGATTTAGATAGCATTGGAACTGAAGGTATTCGCTTCGACTCTTTTCACTGCTAACTTTCTACGAGCAGTTCTCAGGCAGACAGACTTGCTTTTAAGCAATCTTTGAAGAAACAGCTTTCGACCTCCATACGGTAGCTGCTTCATAGCGGTGTGCAATCACACGAGCTAGTTCCGCTTCTCCTGGAGGGTAAAATAGGGGAAGTGTACTTCTGATTTTGACTTGCTGATGTCTACAATCACGGTTTGCGTACGAGAATGTTGAACTAGGTCAGCATACAATCAGATTTTGTGGTAATATTTTGCGAGCAGCTCTTGTAC